GGCATAGTCGTGGCCAAAGAGCTACCGACGCTGGAAGAGAAGAAGAATCAGCTGATAGTAGAAGGTGCGAACAATAAAAGGATCCTAAAAGAGATCGAAGATAAGATCTTAGAGGTTCTCACGAAATCCGAGGGCAACATACTCGAAGATGAGACCGCTATCAGAATACTCTCGACTTCGAAGATGCTATCAGAAGACATTGAGGCGAAACAGGAGATTGCAATAAAGACCTCGGCAGAGATAGACAAAGCTCGTGATGGTTACAAACCCGTCTCGAAGCATGGTGCGGTTCTCTTCTTCTGTATCTCCGAGTTGGCCAACATTGATCCCATGTACCAATACTCACTACCATGGTTTCTACATCTCTACGTCATGGCAATAACCAACAGTGAACAGTCGACAGATTTGGACTTACGAATGAACAATCTCAATTCATACTTCACGGCAAGCATTTATAGAAATATATGTCGTTCTTTATTCGAGAAGGACAAACTGATATTCTCTTTGGTCCTCTGTGTCAGTCTGCTGCGCGCCGCTCGTAAATTAGATGAAGAGCTCTGGGTATTTTTATTGACGGGTGGAATGGCTCTCGAAAATCCTTATCCCAACCCTGATCCCTCATGGCTATCCGACAAATCCTGGAACGAGATCGTAAAAGCTAGTCTCCTGCCCGGTCTTGAAAAATTGAGGACATCCTTCCAATCTAACATATCGCAATGGCAAGCATATTATGACCTGTCGAACCCACAGGAACATTCTTTCCCACCACCATTCGAACATGAGGATGAGAATTTAAGGAAGCTCGTAATCCTGAGATGCATAAGAACCGACAAGCTGATTGCTGCCGTTCAAGCATATATCATCCATCATATGAGCACATCTTTCGTAGAACCGCCACCATTTGATCTCCAGAGTTCATACAACGACTCGAGCAATGTTACGCCTCTCATCTTCGTGCTCTCACCTGGATCGGATCCAATGGCTGGATTGATCAAGTTCGCCGAAGATCGCGGGATCTCGAAGAAAAATCTCATGACGATATCATTGGGTCAGGGTCAGGGCCCAATTGCAGTTGACATGATCGAGCGTGGTATCAAGAGTGGCGAGTGGGTCATCTTGCAGAACTGCCATCTTGCCATATCGTGGATGAAGGAACTTGACCAAATATGCGATGAAATTATCGTACCTGAGAACACGCATCGTGATTTTCGTTTATGGTTAACTAGCTACCCATCCAAAGGATTTCCGGTGTCCATTCTGCAGAACGGTGTCAAGATGACGAATGAACCGCCGAAGGGATTGAAGAGCAATTTGCTGCGAAGTTACCTGAACGATCCTATATCGGATTTAAAGTTTTTCCGCGAGTGTACGAAAATAGTAGAATGGAGGAGGTTGTTGTTCTCTTTATGTTTTTTCCATGCGGTGGTGCAAGAAAGACGAAATTTCGGTCCACTCGGCTGGAATATACCTTACGAGTTCAACGAGTCCGATTTGCGTATCTGTATTCTGCAATTACAGGTATGGGAGCAGCTTTCTTTTATTAATAGATATCATGGGATTATTATAATTATATTATTTTATAATTATATTATTTTGGTAATCTAGCAATTTTTAAATGATTACGACGAAGTACCATTCGACGCACTCATTTATCTAACAGGCGAATGCAATTATGGAGGCAGAGTGACCGATGATAAAGACAGAAGGCTGCTGAATTCGCTGCTGAAGAATTTTTATAATCCTGAAGTTATTATAAAAATAGAGTAATATCACTCGTTCTTAATACTATATAGAATTCAAAAATCTAAGAACATACTACTCTCTTTGATTTTGTCAATTTTTTTATAATGAAAGAAAATTTAAGCTTAAATAAATAAATAAGAAAATTATTCCTTCCCATTTCTAAAACAGAGATTATAAGGATTATATTCAGTAATATTGTAATTTAATTTTGTATAAAGAAGAGAAATGAATCAAAATATGAATTAAAAATGGAGAAATTAACAAAATTATGAAAGGAATGATTATTAGAGATAAACAAATTTTTAAGATTCTAAATTTGTCAGATAAAATGTTATAAGTTTTTTAAGTTTTTATTAATATTCATATCTTGTTATTCATATCATGTAATTCGTATCTTCCTAGATACTCATTTTCTCCGAGCGGAATTTATCGTATGCCAGAGGACACAGATTATGAAGGATGTCTGAAATACATTCGCAGCTTACCAATTAATCAATTGCCGGAAGTTTTTGGTTTGCATGAGAACGCAGACATAGCGAAGGACAATCGAGAAGCAATGCAACTATTAGCCGGTGCACTTTTAACTCAGCCACAAATCAGCGGAGTAGGCGAGTAATATATATTTCTTTAATTTTAAATGTTTATTAAACTATATTTCTTTTTTTAATTTTATAATTGAATTTTTCTTTTTATAATTGAAATATTGCTAAACTTATATAATATGTGAGTTTTTACATAGTTCAGTACACTTAATTTAGACTTGGTGTACATTATTGACAAAATTATGACAAAATTGTAGAAATAATTTATTGCACAAGATCACAACATTATAAAAATGTTACATAATCTTGCTATTATATACTGTCGTAAAATAGCAATAAAAATGTTGGCGTGGAATTTATTCGCGATAATATAACATTATTCCATATATCATAATACAGCTTGTGTAATAACATTTTTATTAATTTTCATCAGGTGTCGAGAAAGACATGGATGAAATAGTTTTTACTCTGGCTAGTGAGATTTTATCAAAGATGCGACCACAATTCGATATTGAATACGTGTCGAAGAAGTATCCGGTACTTTACATGAATAGCATGAACACGGTGTTGCGTCAGGAACTCGTTAAATTCAACGAGCTCACCAAAGTCATCAAGGAAACATTGAACAGCATGCAGAAAGCCATTAGAGGGCTGGTTCTAATGTCATTAGAATTGGAGGATGTTTATCTAAGCATGAGCGTTGGCAAAGTGCCACTCACTTGGAACAGAAAATCGTATCCCTCCCTGAAACCGCTCGGTAGCTATGTGAATGATCTATTGGCGAGATTGCAATTTCTACAAGATTGGATCGATCACGACGCACCGAATGTATTTTGGATATCCGGTTTCTTCTTCACACAATCATTTTTGACGGCGGTGCTGCAGAATTATGCTCGCATGCACAAGATACCGATCGACCAGTTAGACTTTGAATTCGAGTTCACCCGGTTCGAATCGAGCGTCGATGCTGCGCCTTCCTATGGAGTTTATATAAGTGTATGCAAAGTTTTTTATTAACATATAATCTTAAATAATAGTTCTAAAAAATAATAATAGTTCTAAAAAAATTAAAATTTGATCTTTTAATATAAATAATATAATAACAGTATCTTGCCGCAATGACATGTTTGTTTATTTACATTTCTTATTGATCTTTATCCGCGATGTTTTTAGGGTCTCTTTTTAGAGGGAGCTCGATGGAATAGAGAGACGAGATTACTGGATGAATCTAAGCCTAAGATAATGTTCGATGTGCTACCCATTATATGGTTAAAATCTGGCGAAAAGGCTAAATTCGACATAAAAAACGTTTATTATTGTCCAGTGTACAAGACAAGTGCTAGACGCGGTGAATTAGCTACTACTGGACATTCTTCTAATTTTATATTATATATCCTAATCCCGACAGATCTAGACGAATCGCATTGGATTAATCGAGGTGTAGCTGCCCTTTGTCAACTCGATGATTAATAAAAGCAATAAGGTATGAATCATCGGAGTGATTTATGCACGATGATTTATTGCACAAATGGACAATATATCTCGAAAAACTGATAAAAAATATTTAATGGAATTAATTATGTAGAAATATTTAATTATTAAAAAACTTTATGATAAATTATCGGGAAATCAAAAAATACAAATATTTTTGCAATATATAAATATATTTGCTAACAACAATCATACATCATTTATAACATTATTCAATCTCATATATACATTATATTGTTTATTATCATAAATTCATATAAACATATATATATATATATTTCATAAAATTTTGCATATAGACTATTCGATTAAAAACAATAATGATCATTCTTGCTTGATCATACATTATCGGGATTGTACGTGCTTTTAAAATAGAATGTGATCTTTCTCAGGTACATATCCAAGAAGCAATTCTTATGTACAGAAAAAATATTCTGTACAAACACGCACATGTGTATTACGGAATGTAATGGACTGTAATATGCATAAAAGATACTACACGCGAAATCCCCTTTCTCTTTGAAAATTATGGAGGCAGGAATGCGTTCTCTAAAAGTATCACGATGTCTCGTATACATATTCATTAGTACAATGTCTTCAATAGAATTTTGATTGTCAAGAGAATAGTTGATCATCATTGACTATACATTTCTACTCTGTCATTATCAAAATATATATTCAACACGTCCATGATCAAATAACATACGAAAAATAAAATCCGTGGGTATTACAATGCATACAAGATGTTCTAAAAGCCGCACGATTAGATTTTGACGAAAAAGTTTTTAATAATTATTTTATTAATCATTTTAAAATGTTATCTTAACTTTGTTTTAACAGCAAATCTATGTCATTTTGTGATTTCAATTCAATGCGATTTTTAACTAGATTTCAAGATACGATTTTTTATTTCCTATTAACTTTTCTTATGTGTTTTACAGCTTTGATTCTTGTTGTTTAAAAATTGCAAGGAAAGTGTCTTTTAATGCATCTTGTATGCATATCGCAGTTAATCTACCTATTCACCGTGAGACAAGCGCCGATCAATGAAGGAACAAGATCCTTAAATCTGATCTCGAACAATTCAATCGAGTTTCGAGCTGTAAATGTCACATACTGTTGTGCGCCCACATTCATTTGTGCACACACACTCTCTCTCTCTCTCTCTCTCTCTCTCTCTCTCTCTCTCTCTCGTGTACACATGTATATACGATCAGACATAAAGTCGATATACTGCGTTATGGACTAGTTAAACGCGAGTTTTTTTGTGGCGGATTCATGTTACAGACTAGTTAGTCACAAAATCGCAGTGCAAAACTGATGCACAAATCATCTAAAACAAACATGATCTCATAGTCAAACATACATAATTAGAACTTATATAAAGAAGCTTGCAATGAATGCAAAGCACACTTACAGCTTTCGAGTAGATGAAAAAAAAATTATTATATCAATTATATTCCTCGTTAAGATGAAAATCTTGCATTTTAATATAACAATATCGGATATCTGAAAGAAAATAGATTAGATCAATGTCTTCAAGGCAGCGTTCTTTCAACTGTGAATGACGCAACATTTCAGTAATGGAAACATTGATGACGCCAATAAATACGTATTTGGCATACTTGCATATATAAAGACCGCTTTAAAAGAGGGAATATCTAAAACACAGTTATTCCGAAATTGAAAGAGATTGAGAAATATACATGTATATATACATACTGGAAGACTATAACATTCGACGGAAAGTATATTCCTGGATGTCCTCTTTATGTAATCGCTCAAACAATATTAGATACTTTCCATTTGATGATACAATAAATCGACTCAAGTGTCGTTCTCTCTTTATCACTCTCTGAATGTTAAGAAGGATAAAACGACGCTTGGATCGACTTGTCATCAAATGGAAAACACACTTGACTTATAATAAAGACTTCTTATATTAACATTTTGAAAAACAAAAATTACGAAAAAACTCGCAATTCGCAATTAATATTTTCGACTACTTTTTATTTGAGCTAATATAGTCTTCAATTATAGAAGGATTCATACATTATCTAATACTTATATTTGCAAAAATATCTTATCAATCTTATCGTTAATGTATTAAAATAATGTGCGTTAACGCTCGTTTGAGCTACCGTGAGTTGCTTTATTTTTAACACAGTTTCTTATGTTCCACGATGTTATTTCTCGAGAGTTTTCGCACACTTCATTCGCATTCAAACTCGTTATGTATCTTTGCAACCTAAAGAATTTGCTAGCTTGCTTGCTTTAACTAGCCTTATCAATCTTCACCGCTTGTGGCATCGACCAACGCTGGATCAATTTCCTGTGAGGATTCATTCTTCGATTTTTTTACTTTGTATTCGACATAGCAGAAGGCCCCCGTACCGATGAATATAGCCACGAGTAGCACCGCGAGTTGTACATACAATCCCACCTCAGTACTGTATGAGAAGCTAATAGCTGCTGCGACAGATTGACAAAATTTAAAGAGAGCAAAGGCCGACGCACTCTCGTTAGCGAACAGGACGCCTAATAGCGAGTAGACTTGCGTGTTGTAGCAGGCGTCGCCGAAACCGAGGGCAAGACTGCCTGCCAATGCGAGGAACTTTGATGTCTCAATGTAGCCTACATTATCTGTGTCCTTGAACGATGCATCGTTTGGTAGATTCAGGAAGATGCTGATGAAGGCGAATAAATGCACAGTCAGACCAGTGAGTATCACCGGCCAGCCACCGCACTTACGGGATATCTTGGACGCAAGAATGCCGAAGACCGCGCCGCCCACGACTTCGCCGACACCAATAAAAATACCGGATAGTCCCACCAATTTCTTACGATCCTCACCCAATGCCTTCACGAAGCCAATGCTGCTAGAATATACACCGGAATAGAAGGTAAGCTCGAGACCTGTATAAATAAATGTCAATGATAGTAGCAGCATGTTCGACGTGAGGAAGAGCCTAATTGCATCCACGAAGGCGTTCCACGCAGCCAATAGCGGTTTCTCACGCCTTGGTTCCGGCAGGCGTAGTTCTTTGTCGGCGTTAGATACCCCCTCAGCTTCACCCAGCAACAACTTCTGTGGCGATTTTCTCAATACGAGTAGTACCCCGGCACCGACTACTGCGAGGCCAGTTAGCACGCTGAATACGATTGTCCGTTGTTCCTTGTCAATTTTGGACTTTGTAAAGATGAAAAAGACAAACAGATTACCGGCGAACTGCGATGTCTGGAAAATCGCCCAAAATATACCGGCATTCCGTGACATTGTCTCATTATCACTGTTTTCCGTTAGGTATTGTCCATGGCCGGTCCACATCAGAGCGGCACCAATCCCGACGATAGCGGACATGGTATACAACAGAGCATCATGCGGCCAAAAGAATGAAGCGATGAACAGGACGTAACAACAGGCACCTGTAAGTATCGCTATCCGTGGCCCTGTCACGGAAATGTAGGACGGTGCTAACCAGTTGCAGGTCGCAAACACGGCATAGATTATGGCCAGGCTGACATAAGCATTACCATGGAAATCTTCAAATTCGTCCGAAATGCTGTTCAAGACAGTTTTCTGTAAACAAAAGAGATCAATGCAGGAAGATTAATATATTTCTAATATGCTATTTTTCGCTTCTGTAATAACGTTTCATACACTTTTAATGATATTTCATCGAATTTCTATTGTGTTAAATGCATACAGGTCGGTTGAACAACTTATCCATGATAACTGACTTGCCAATTGATAATAACCGCGCTCATATCAGATAATTTTTCTTTCATGTTAAACTTTATTACAGAATTTTATTTCCTAATTAATTTAGAAGAGAGAGAGAGAGAGAGAGAGAGAGAGAGAGAGAGAGAGAGAGATTTTTTTTCTTGAATTGAATTTAGTTGAACATAAAAAATTTCTTTTTACCATTTATATAAAATTAGATTTTATTAAAAAAAATTGATACATAATATGTTATCTTAGTTTTATTAAACAGTGACATGAAAAATATTTTGAACAATGTACTGTAGCAATGGTATTGTAACAGAGAAATGGAAAGTGATCAAACGAGAAATCAGATAAGAAATTGAAAAACGTTAATAAAAGGCGAAGCATCAGAATGTATCGCCAGTTCCGGCATTCTCTTTTAGGATTCAAACTGGTTATTCTGTATTTATAGAAACTATAAAAACTGCATTATATTTATACCTCAACCAAGGACAACCACAAAATATCAATATAGGAATGAATATTGTTTTATATTCCTTTACTACATCGTTATTAGGAAGAATTAGAAATGTCTAGATTTAATGAGCAAGAGCTGCGTATTAATTAATATAAAAGGAAACCGTTCTGTTGATTTACGATTTTATTTAAAAAAAAAAAAAGGATTCATAAAATGTTCCAGACAGAATCAGATTAGAGATATCGCTTGTGCTTATTTTTAAAATAAGACAAGCTTCACACACAGAAATATTAGTGGTATTTATAGTGGTTTCAATAAAAAAACTGTTGATGTGTCCAACAAATTTGTTAAAGCAAATGAGGATTATTAATGTGCATTATAATCAATTGGACGATTCACGATTTCACCTATCATCACTGGTATCGTATTAGGAGCGAATCGGTCAAACGTTAAACGCACGTTGTCAGTTTCAACTACACTTTCACATATAGGAAAGTATAATATCCTATTTTACGTATTTCTGATCTGTCGCAAACTATTTCATATCTTCTCGTTATTGAGAATCATCAGTAATCAACAATCATATCATTGTTCGTGATTTGACATTTAACATTTCGTTGGCTATTTTTTTTGGGTATATTGTGCATAATATTAACGTCCGTTATAAACCGTAAGTTCAAGTAAATGCTAACATAAAAAGAAATATATATCTTTATCGATTCCGTTATATTTCTCTAAAATGCAGTGGAGCAAAATATATAGATATATTTGCTTAAATAAATTAAATAGATTCATTAAATAGTTTTAATATTCGATAACATTTGAAGTGTTATAGTTTAACTATATTTATCGCATTCGCGTAAATATAGCGTTCTGTCAAGATAGCGATTGTCAATAGGCGATAATGACAAACAAGCTTTTAGTAAGAAAACAATTTCTCTGATAAATATCTTTGTAGCCTCATTTTTTTTTTTGATACCAGAGAGGTATTCACAGTGATAACGACAATCGATAAGATCTATAATGGTATTGCAAGATTACATAGATGTTTACATAACATTATTGTTTCCGATGCGATTTCGTACAGAAAATCATCTGTAAGAGATAAAAAAATTACTACAAATCTGGAACACATCGTATTTAATAATTGTATTGTATTTACATTAATAAAATTTCTATTAAAAAAACAATTTCTATTAAAAATAAATTCAATTTTTACATCATTAAAAATGTAACAACGATCCTAAATTTGTAATTTTGTTTATTAAATCTGTAGAAATAGATAGATATTACAAATATCGCTTGACAACTATTATATTTTTTAAAGAATATTTTTCGCTAAATAAATATATTTTTATTATTTAGCTAAATATTTTTTAAATATAAAAGAGTACATTATCTGCGAGAGTATCCTCTTTTTCAGTCACATATATTTTAATAGAATACCCTTAGGAAAAAGTGTTTCAATACTGACCATTCAGTAACTGATGATATTTCACCGGTAATTAAGTATAAATGAAATATTTTTACTGAACAGTTAATTAGTATATTGAAACACTTTTTCTTAAGAGTATTATAATGAGTATATTGTGAAATTACAATATATACAATATATACAATATATACTCATTATAATATTCTATTAAATAATACTCTATTAATTTTCTTAGTCATTATTTTTCTTAGTCATTATGATGTAAATTGCAATAATGCGGATATAAAACATATTTTTCAATTAATTATACATTTATCGGCAATGTCCATTTGTGAGTCTTCAAGTTTATTTCCTTAAACTACTGAACGTGTTGTCGCACAGATAACTGACGTTGTTTAATGACGTCTCCTCTTCCTGTCTCTTACATTCACGTGCCTAAAAGTGAAAGGACAACTGCGTTGTACGGCTGGTGAGACATTCTATTTTAGATATTTCTCTGAGCGCGCTATCGAGGATCGAGATTTTTCGGCAGTCATGAATTATCTCGATGATGTTATCTCAACGATGTTATTTCAACGAGGGAAATTCTTCGAGAATTCAAGTCATTATGACCCTCGATGAATCGCGATACGGCGAAGGGTGCATGAAGCGTAAAGTGAATTCGGTGGGAACCGGTTACGTCGGTTTCCGACAGGTTTCGATGGATGCAATTATCGAGCATGTCTAGGATGAATTTCATTTTGTGTTGGTAAACTTTCTCTTTCACCATTTCAACGAGGTCAGCGGTCTGTTTCCAGAACTTCGATGTAATAGATAGGAGGATCCTGCATCTTCATATCGTTTTAGGATCTTTAAGAAGCATAACACAGAAAAATATAAGGCAGTAAGATGTAAGCAGTGTGCGAATCGGTCACACAATTACAGTAAAAGATAATAACATAAGCAATAGCAAATCCAAAATGTTGTTTATTTATTGATAATATTTTTTAATATTTCACAGTCTTAGTACATTCCGAAATAATTTAGGCGATTAAACATACAAAAAAGAAATTTCGTTTTATAAAAATGTAATTCCATTTCTCTCTGATTGAATACTTCACATAATTTAATCAATTACGATTAGACTACGATGACAACATCATCGATTGACGGGCAATCTCAGGCAATCTTCATTATATGATAATGACTCGATTGCAATCTAGCAGAATGCGATATCGCTGAAAATTGACATCGAATTAGCTCAAAGTTAAGAAATGTCACTTTTCATGAAGTCCGAGATAACAAAGCAAAAAAAAAAATCAATGCGATTTAATTATTACATACAAAAAAAGATGGAGAAGAACTGCATCTTTTAGTACGTTGCAAGAATCAATATCGATAGTAATCATGACATTTTAATCGAAGATTAATATCTTTAAAATCTTTAAAAGAAGAAATTAATATCTCAGTTCTTGAAAGTCTGACGTAACAAATAGATGAACTTTTTATGATATAACGATTAAACGAGCAAAATAAGGCTATCAATGTGATAATATAAAATTTTCGCGTAAGAAAAATAAGTTGGTCAGAATTATTTATAAGTCAATATTATTTGTAATTGGCACAAATGACTGTAATTTTTTATTGTTAAAACTTATTTAAACAAAGAAATGAAATTTCATACAATATTAAAGATAATTAATTTGAAATTAGATAATATCAGGGGCACTTAATTTTAAATTCTCGAGTTATACTGATAGAAATCTTATCAAGAGTATATTTAAAAGGTCAGCATGATTACAAAAGATTATCATTCTGAAGTCATTTTGAAATCTTCGTAATTGACTCTTTCATTGCGTAAATATTGATTAATTATTCAATATATCTGAATTTTTTTTCTCATAGATGCCGTGATTCTTTCGTTTTCTCTTAAAATATTTATAAAAACTTAAGAAAAAAATATTATTGTACTCTGAAAGCACCAGTAATCTACATCTGCGACTTTTGTGAGCTAATCGGACGTGATATTGTTAGCGGCCGGTGAATTTACAAGTAAACAAAGATCATTGTATCGCGCTGCAGCGATCAATTCCACTGCACGTTTGTTAAAAATTTCACAGATATCACATATCCAAAGATACTTCTGAATTACGGAGATAATGGCTGACGTTACCAATAACTTAATTACCAGAACGCAATTTTCGCGCATTCCCAGATTATACTTGCGATATCGCGCGGAATACCTATATTATGTAAGTTTTGTTTCAGATAGTGATATGAAATTCAAAAGATTCGCAACAATTCGCAACAAATGTTATGCAAGATGACTGAAGATGAGTGAAGACAAAAATATGTCATTAGATCCTGAAATGATATCCTCAGGAACAATCATGCAAACAAAATAACGCAAGAGAAATGATGAAGTATTAAACCTATTAAAAAATAAGAAAAAAATCCAACAAAAAATAGAGGTAAAAATATAAATATATTTATTTTTATATTAAATATGAAAGATAAGAAAAGAGAAAGAAGTGTTCCTATTATATAGAAAGAACAAACAGTTCAAAATTATTTTTAATCTATAACTAAATTGTAGATATTATACTTTAAAGTCATGCTTTCGGTGTAGCGATAGAACTTTATAAAAACAATGATTTTCCTCTCCACGGTTAAAATAAAAAAATCTTTTTCAGTCGTTTGCATCTTTTTAGGTTTCATCAAGATATTTTTTGACTTTTGGAGAAAAACTGTATAACAGTATTTCACAGATCGCCAGTTTCGCAATGCCGAAAGTAGTCGATAATGATACCGTATAATTTAGAAGTGTTCCAGTCTCGCGCTTACGGCGATCGTGACCAGTTAGCTCCTTGCCTTTTGTTGCTACTTTCTAAACTAATCATACGATGTCCTGATCCGTTAGTGTTGTTGATCCGTGTACTTTCTAGAACTTTATAAACTAATACGAACATTTCATTTGCTTCACAAAACAATCAAATATTCATCAATAACTAGCACAATTAATTCGTTTTGTCTTTTCTTTCTTTTTCTAATATTCATTTCTATCGATATAAATTAATTTTGATTCTGTTCAGGTCTATTTAACTCAAAATGTAATTTATTGTCTTATTAATATTTTATTTAAAAACTTTTCTGGTATTTGATAGCTACTGTTAATGTAAAATCTTTTTCCTACAAAAATTTATTTTTTATTTTTTTTACATCTTTTTAATCATTAATTGATATAAATAATATGATTATATAATAAATTTGAACAAACTAGGAATTAATCCTGGTTCAATGTACTCTTTAGCTTTAAAGTAAATTAAATCGAGATTAATGTCAATATGTATATAAAACGGGCATAAATTATATCATGTCCGCTCTCTCATTTCGAGCGTTTCCGTTCTCCGATAATATAGGCACGTGCGAAAGCAATTCAAACAAATCGCTCGTGTTTGAACGCCTAGGATGCTATGGAGTCCTTCACTTTAAATTAGTTAAAAAAAGATCTCGACGCTGATCGCCTAGCATTATCCAATCATCCTATTAATCCGATTCTGTCTATATCAGACTGAATGAAAGATTTTGTAAATAATATTCTTCCATATTCAAACATTGGAATTATAAGGAAAACGCATTGTTTAAAATCAGAATTCTTATTACGTACCAAATTTTTTACCAAAAGTATACATGAAATGAACAAAATTAAATATAAAAACATATAAATACTTTAGGCCTGATTCCACCAATGTAAAATTAACTTTAATTTCGGTTTCACTTACTGTTTATTTTTTTCTAAGAATTAGAAAAAGATAATTTTTTTTCTTAGAAAATTTTTTCTTAGAAAAAGATAATTATATATATAATTATAATTATCTTATCTAAGAAAAAATTATCTTTTTCTAATTCTTAGAAAAAAATAAACAGTAAGTGAAACCGAAATTAAAGTTAATTTTACATTGGTGGAATCAGGCCTAAAGTATTTATATGTTTTTATATTTAATTTTGTTCATTTCATGTATATTTTTGGTAAATAAATTGTAATAAGAATTCAATAAGTCAAATTAAAAGGTATAAATTCTTAGAATGAAAAAAGAAATAAATTAAACCGAGATTATAAAGTTAATCTTATATTTGGTGAAATTAGGCTTAAAATATTTATATATTTTTACATTTAACTTTGCTAATTAAACGATTAAATTATACGCAATAAAGATATTGTCACATTATTTAACAAAGTTTGTTTTTATTCCTGTATTAGACTGGAGTAGAATTTTCTTTCTTTTTTCAGTGAAATATAAAACATGTACATATTATTTCATTCCAAGTTCTGAAATGTACACTAGTTTTTCTAACTTGGATATATAGAAAACAAACCTAAATGCATTCCTATTTTCTATAGATTAATTTTAGTTTATTTTTTAACTTTTTTTAATTCTTAGAATTGAAAAAAGATAAAAAATAAGTTAAATCGAAATTAAAGTTAATTTATAATATATTGTAATAGTATAAATGGATATTAAAATATACATATGATTATTTCAAATTGACAAAGTTAATTATAATAAGCTGCATTTAGATACTTTATAGCCTAAGCAGCCTTTAATGTGCACTGATTCAATGTAACGCGAGTGACCGAATTCACTAATAGATTATTCACTGAGCGTTCGCTGATATGACGCGCTTTCCGCTTATAAAAGGTTATAGAAGCTTTGCTCGCTACATGCTGTAATCTAAAATGCCACTTGTTTCTGGAAACGAATGCATCGAGAACGTCGAGGAATTAATTCTTTCTCAAAGAAGAAAACGGTGTAACCTTCACGCGTCCAACTTCGTTCAATCGTGAAATATATTTATTTCGAAGAGCTCAGTCAATATATTTACTCCGAAGGGCTCCTCTTCAAATTTCTCAACCTTCAATTATCGCAGCCTACGCAAAGTAAAACATAGAAGTGCGCGCCGACGCAAGCGATAATATGAATAATAATGATAAGATGAAAAACATTCACATGCGGCATTATCGCTCACCTCTATATTGCCCATCGTTTGAAATGCCGTGAAGACTAGCATAAATCCCCAGCTGAGGCTCATCACGTTTAAAAAGGCTCGATCCATGATTACAGTCGCGGGACAATATTGTCGTGTATGTATCTGTCGCGTATACGAGAGTGATTCACGTTTCACGCGCGGTCTAGAAGCAGTCTACTCCTCGACGACTCCGATACTGTTGACAGATCGCCACATGGGAGAAACCGCGCGACTGCGAACCACAACATCATACATCCATAGTTACCTGCGCAGCCGCCTGCGCAAGTACGCATTGCTAAAAAAACATCTGACGTCTGAAGTTGGCGATGAGTCGCGCGAGATCTATCAATCGTCGATAGGTCCCTCTCGATTCTTGACGATTGAGTTCCGTTCGATATGAAGTAATCGATCGTAATCACGCTAGCGCTTGCACGATTGGGATTTGCGGAATTAAAAAAAGTCGATCACTATTCACAATCGTATAATTATTAGTGTGATAACGGTTTTATACCCAGTTCCACCAATGTAAGATTAACTTTAGTCTCGGTTTAATTTACTTTTTATCTTTTTTTAATTTTCAGGACTAGAAAAAGATAAACGGCAAGTTAAACTATGATTAAAATTAATTAACGGATGTAACGGATATTAATTAAACGGATATTAGAGAAGATAAAGCTATCGATCGATTGATCGATCGATCTTGGGCGATTCTCAACGGCGAGATTGAAGGCGAGCGACTTTTGCGCGGGTTTGATGGATCATCAACTGTGCCGTTGTGCTATCGCAGAAGGAGTTCGACCAGTTCGACAAAAGAGAGTGAAAGAAAGAAAGAAAAAGAACGAAGCAAGAAGAACAATATAAGTCGCGGGGAGGCGGTCGCCTGATGCGGCGAGCTTCAAGCCGATCGTGTGCGTTGAGCAGATTGAAGTAAACCGCGATTCGCCGTGCTTCCTGACGAAGAGGACGCTTAAAACGCTCGACCGATGTGACGTAAGAGCGCCACGGTTCCACCGATACTTACACTTTACACCTCGACCAACCCCGATTTATATGACGTTGCCGGGCATCGGAAGGTTCCCTGACGTGAATGGACATTGGTTCACTCATCTATTATAATCTGGAGAAAGAGGGAGAGTGCGTGAAGAGTGGAGAGAGAAACGACAAAGTTAGACTAGATTGGTGTAGACTGCTGACTGGATTCACCTAACCCATCGTCGTAACCGGGTGCGAGAAGGCGCTGGCTTGGACTTTTATCGGCAGATCTTTATCGATGGTGCGCGAGAACCGATCGGCCGTGAGCGCGTCGATCCTCATCACCGGCCGTGAGATCATCATGCAAACATTATGACGGACGTCCGCCCTTGTCGTGACACGAAGAACCCTCCCAGCCGCCCGCCCTGCGCTCTTCCATTGGTACCGCGCGAACACGGCGGTGAGGTTGGAAAATCAACCAGGAGATAAGAAGAAGAAGAAGAAGACGGTGAGGGAGTCGCGGAGGGATGTACGAGCGTGAGCGCGAGTCGTAAGGCGTCGTGTGTGAATAGCTTGCGGGATCCGGACGATAGGTCGCCGTGATTTTGCTCGAGTGTTGAGACCGCCCAGTCAACCATGAAGAAGCAGTTTTTCCGGGTGAAGCAGCTCGCCGATCAGACCTTCTCTAGGTAGCTGAGTCAGCTAGAATCGCTAGTCTGCATTATCGTTTTCTGTTTCCTCTAATTTTATCTGTTTATTTATTTTCTGACAAGAGACACATGATTCTTTCCAGCAACAGACATAGTGTAACACAATGATCATTTCTTTGTTCAAACAAGAAGGATGTAATGATTCACTGTGTTACACTTCTATGTCTTTTGTTGAAAAGTATCTATGAATGCTACAATGTATCACAGTGAATTATTTTATTTTTTTGTTTAACATTAACAAATAACAAAGATATAATGATTCACTGTAGGTGCTTTTTATCTGGTGATACAAGTACAACATGAGTATCGTTCTATCTTTGTTATTTATGGAACATCAAGAAACAGAAGAGTAGAATAAAGTTTGTATGTTGATTTGTGTCAATAATACTTATTTTTACTAATGTAGTTTAACTTAATCTTGGTTCAACTCTTCTTTTTTTCTAATTCTAAGAATTAAAAAAACATGGAAAGTGAATTGAATTGAAATTGAAACTTACATTGATAGAAACAAGTATTATTGACATAAATCAACATACAAACATCATTCTATGTTTCTTGACACTCCATAAGTAACAAAGATGTACTTATGTTGACTTGTATCATCAATAAAAAAGCATCTACAGTGAATTATATCCTTTTGTTGTTTGTAATGTTAAACAAAAAATAAAATGATTTACTGTAATACATTATGGCATCTATAAGTGCTTTCCAGCAGGTATGCAGCAGGTTCAGATGACATAGTACATTGTGTACAGTGTTACATTGTATGTCAACTATATCTCTAGCTGGAAAACCATGGGCTACATTTGATTTGACTGTTTATAGGCTAAGTTTTATTCTTTCTTCATATAATGAACAATTAAGATACAATTAAATGCTATTGTTATGAAAATGAATTGAACTCTGATTAAGTAGACATATCTTTTTCTTGGAGATAATACATCAGAATTGTCGACAGATCATGTTCTAATAGAGAACATTGAGATAATCTTGAACAATAGATATTCCAAAATAGATTTTGAAATTAATTACGGATATTTCAAAATAGACTTTGAAATTAATTATGAATATTGGATAGATTAAGAGTGATAAAATAGACTTTAAAAAAAATAAAAGATAAGGCTTCTTGTTATCAAATGTACAATATCTTAGTGAAAGTTTATTTTTCATATGAATAGATCGGGTAAAACGGAGGTGCTAACAGATGATTTAGTGGCTGCTGACAAGCATGTTGAACAGATTAGAGCAGCTCTCACCTGTCTCAGCAAAAGACTCGGAAATCCACCGAATCAAACTATCACTCAAGATCCGGCTCTTAAGGAGAAACGCTTGGTAAATAGAAAAATTATATTTAAGGATTTAGATCATTAAGTATAAAATTTAGACTATAATGAACTCAACAGCAATTTTTATTGCAATATCAGAATGTTAAGGAGATATACAGCTTATTTTTGATAATTTTTTTAAGAAGATAGCTATTTCTTTTACACATCTACTTGTATATTTAAATTTATTTTTATTTTCATTTATTTTTATTTTTATTTATTTTTATTTGTAAATATCTATATATAAATTTTGATATGATTAAATGTATTAATTAATATGTTATTATGTTATGTAAACTCAGAAACAAAATGTTAAAAAAACATCGGTGATTGACATGATTGTAACTTTCCAACTTAATTGAATTAAAAAATTTAAAAGGATTATTAATTATTATGAATTGTGCCTAATCTAAACTGGGATAAATATTGCAAATTGTTAAAATGGCTTGGTTTTAAGATCAGTATCGATTTTTAAATAAAATTTTGGTTTTAAATATTTATGAAAGATAGTTCATTTATAGATAATGACAATATTCCATGTCATAAATAGGCGTGTATTTTATCTATACATAAAAGTTTAAATCAAAATAGATATAATCAATATCAATAGTTTCTGAGAAATGTCAACCGACTTGAAAAGTATGTTTCGAGAAAAACATGTTTAAAATTTTAAATATAGTTACAATATAAAAAAATAAAAGTTTATCTCTAATCAATGTCGGAACCATATCGGAACCATACAACAAATCCTTTTGTAATTCAAATGCTCATTTTTTATTTTTCTTTAATCTATGCTTGATAGTTGTTTTTGAGCACGTTAACAAAGCACATTAAATGATGTTTGTGCTTTACAATT